GATTATTGTGGCTATACATCATTTTCCAATATCAACTTGTATATTCGCGTCTAGACTGAAAATTTATACATATATCTAGAATGTCTATACATATTCTAGTGCAGAATTGTCTAACGAATCTAGTAGCATATAAATTTTCAGTCTGTGACTGTAACTTTTAGAGATATCGCGGTTTATATCATAAAAATTTGATAATTGTGGCTATACATCATTTTCCAGTAGCAACTAGTATATTCGCGTTTAGACTGAACATTTATACATATATCTAAAATGTCTATACATATTCTAGTGCAGAATCGTCTATCGAATCTAATGGCATATAAATTTTTAGTCTGTGACTGTAACTTTTGTTGATATCGCGGTTTATAACATCTAAATTTGATTATTGTGGCTATACATCATTTTNAGATTTGTCTGGCGGATCTAATGGCGTTTGAATTTTTCGTTTTTTACTGTAACTTTACGAGTTATCGCAATCTTAAGCGTGAAAATTCGATTATCTATGATAATCGTTTTTTCTATAAGATCTGATTATTGTCGCATTTAAATTTAACGCTTTCAAATATATCTAAAATTTTTTTACATATTCTAGTGCAGATTTGTCTGGCGGATCTAATGGCGTTTGAATTTTTCGTTTTTTACTGTAACTTTACGACTTATCGCAATCTTAAGCGTGAAAATTCGATTATCTATGATAATCGTTTTTTCTATAAGATCTGATTATTGTCGCATACAAATTTAACGCTTATAGATATATCTAAAATTTTTTCACATATTCTAGTGCAGATTTGTCTGACGAACCTAATGGCGTTTGAATTTTTCGTTTCTGACTGTAACTTTACAAGTTATCGCAATCTTAAGCGTGAAAATTCGATTATCTATAATAATCGTTTTTCCTATAAGATCTGATTATTGTCGCATTTAAATTTAACGCTTATAAATATATCTAAAATTTTTACACATATTCTAGTGCGGAATTGTCTGAAGAATCTAATGGCGTTTGAATTTTTCGTTTTTGACTGTAACTTTTCGAGATATCTGTTTGAAAAGTGAAAATCCGATTATTTGTGACTATCGTTTTTCCCATAAGATCCCATCAACAAAAGTTAACAAAAGAAGCCTATCAACAAAAGATAATCTGTTTCCGGTCAACAACTGTAATTCTACTGGAAAATGGTCCGAAGATGAGAGAGTCTCAACACGAAAGGATTCAACCTTATGAACAAGATTCTGAGAAACGACTATAAAGTCTATTACCGAGCTACCAACTTTTGACAAAAAAGTTAGTTCATTTGGGATATCTCTCTTAGTACGACTATTAAGGGAATAAAATCGTGTTCAATCAACCAATTCAGAAACTGTCTCCCAGCCNATATATCTAGAATTTCTATACATATTCTAGTGCAGAATTGTCTGCCGAATCTAATGGCGTTTGAATTTTTCGTTTCTGACTGTAACTTTTCGAGATATCTCAGTTTGAAAAGTGAAAATCCGATTATTTGTGACTATTGTTTTTCCCATAAGATCCCATCACCAAAAGTTAACAAAAGAAGCCCATCAACAAAAGATAATCTGAACTGTAATTCTACTGGAAAATGGTCCGAAGATGAGAGAGACTCAACACGAAAGGATTCAACCTTATGAACAAGATTCTGAGAAACGACTATAAAGTCTATTACCGAGCTACCAACTTTTGACAAAAAAGTTAGTTCATTTGGGATATCTCTCTTAGTACGACTATTAAGGGAATAAAATCGTGTTCAATCAACCAATTCAGAAACTGTTTCCCAGCCATATCAACCTTTATATCCTTTGATTGTCTGATATCAAAGATGTTGGGAGAAGCTACATCCACATGTGAATCAATTACTGTACTTCACCAATATGGACGTTAAAATCGCCCATTATCACAATTCCATTATTGTACGAAGACGAAGAGTTCAAAATAGAAGAAAACAAATCTAAACGTAAGCCCTGCTGCCTCAGCGAACCAGCATATACCACCGACACTAGGATATTCCTAGGTTCGAGAGCCGAATATAGTGATAAGCCAATCACCATCAAATCAGGTTAAGTTTCCAATAACTCGAAGTGCCCTCTAACTTTATCAAAAAAAAAAACAAAATACCACCATGGGGTCTACCAGGCCCCAATGGCTTTTCCGCTGGAATCATAATACAGGTAGGCCTCCTACAACGCGGTAAATACGTTCCTTGAAAATACCGCGTTGTGGGAAATCGCGTTATAGGAGACACCAACTTAATACAAAAACTGGGATTCGGTTCTAAAAAGAGAAAAACTTGCCGTTTGAATGGCGTTTCTTGAATTTTTCAAACCAGCCATGCTAGCCACGAATTTAACACTGGTTTCATCAGCCGACGACTGTCCCATTTGTTTTAAATAATCAAATATTTTTAAGGCTTTGTGTTTAAGTGCACTTTTATTTAAAGGCAACCGTTTCTTCTTCATATCTTCTACCCATAATATTAGCGTTTGTTCCATTTTTTTTTTTTCATTATAGGTGCTCTTGGATGAGCAACATTTTTCGCAAGAATAGATGATCCGAATGCAACCAAATTCCTAATCTTTTCTTCCTATTGCTTAATCGATCGATCGAATAGTTGATTCATTTAAATTAAAATGCCTACCAATATCAGCTATCCGCTCTTGATTTTTAATTTGATCCAAAATTTCTATCTTTGTTTGAAGAGATATATATTTCCTTTTTAACGACGGTCCTTTCTTTTCATTCGACATTGTTATGGCTAAAATTTTTTCAAG